TTGAGCTATGTAAGGTATTGAAGAAGTAAGATGAGGTTATTGAGCTATGTAAGGTATTGAAGAAGTAAGATGAGGTTATGGAGCTATGTAAGGTATTGAAGAAGTAAGATGAGGTTATTGAGCTATGTAAGGTATTGAAGAAGTAAGATGAGGTTATTGAGCCACGTAAAGTACATGAAGTAAGGAGGGGTTATGGAGCTAGGTAAGGTATTGAAGAAGTAAGATGGGGTTATGGAGCTAGGTAAGGTACTGAAGAAGTAAGGTGGGGTTATGGAGCTAGGTAAAGTACATGAAGTAAGGAGGGGTTATGGAGCTTGGTAAGGTACTGAAGAAGTAAGGTGGGGTTATGGAGCTAGGTAAGGTACTCAAGAAGAAAGGCAGTGGCCCACTGATGGCTCAGGAGTATGCTTGAAGACTTACAACTCTTAAATTTATGTTTTGGTCCTTGCAGTGGGCAGTACATAGATAGCCCATTGTGCAGCTTTATGTTTAATAACAAACAAAAGAAAGGCAGGGGGCTACAGAGCTAGGCAGTGTACTCAAGAATAAAGTCAAGGCATTATGGAGGTAGGTAAGATATTCAAAGAAAATAAAGGAGGGTTTGGTAAGGAGAGAGCATATAGATTTTAAAGAAAGATAAGATTTAAATGCTGGAGTAATCAGTATATTTGGCTCTTGATATTATCATGTTTACTTTGTACATAATTATATGTTTCATAATTGTTCACATTTCAAGGTTTTTTTTGAAGTTCACTTACTTTATACGTTTGAAACATCTAATATTAACAGAAATATGTTTAATTTTTCACACATATCCCATCAAGATATTGCAGCATATCCCGACAGTGTGAATGTGTTAGAAAGCATATCTGATGATGTGAGGACACCAGACAAACTGATAGATGGAGTCAACAATACTTCTGATGCTTGTCACATGTGGCTGGCCCCTTTGTTACCAGATGTGGTGAGAATAGTAATGAAGTTTTAGTTTTTCAACTCTACCGGTAAATCTGTGAATTCTTATTATGAGAACTTACTTTCCTGTATATACTCAAGCATATGTTTTTCTTATAAAATTGCATGAACTATATACGTTTTATCTTGTTGATTACAACTTAAAGGGGGAAAAAAAAAGATGTTAAATAGATAAGAGAGAAAAATTAGTGTTTCATGTCGAGATTATTGATAATAATAAACCAAAATATATGGAGCAGAAATATATTTTCCTAACATTTATCAGAATCAGTTGTTAGCTATGAATAATGTAGCCGTAAAGTTATTCTCAATCTTTCTTTTTTTGTCAGAAATATTACTATATCTTTTATAGATGAAGAATGTAAATTTTTTAGGCTAAAAATGAAAGTAATCTCATTGTTCAATAATTTGTTTGGCTCATGATTTCTTTTCTCTAGTTGAATCATTTATACATCATTTTCGACCATCCTGTCATGGTATCCATGATTAAATTGTGGAATTATGCAAAAACTCCTTCCAGAGGAGTGAGAGAATTTGGGGTAAGCTGTAATATTTTTCAGTTATTTCTTAAGCAGAAAAGTTGTCTGTATACCTATATTCAAATTACAGATTTTATACATTTGGTTTCATTAACTGGAAGTATTTAGTACAACTTCAAATTACTGAACTGCTTTTGTATAGTATATATGAACTTGTTCTTCAATCATATTGTATTTTTGCATCTTATCAGGGAGTTTTATGTGTTAAAATCTCTAGACATATGAAACCTAGAACAACTGTATTGTACCGTAACTTTATAAATTGATTTCTTTTAACATAATTCATGGTTAACTTTGGTATTTGTTTAAGATAAAGCAAACTGTAAACTAGTTTCATGTGAGTTTACTTACTGATAGTGAGTATATTTTATAAGTTACAGCTTTTACAGTAAGGAATAAGTTTTAAACAGGTAAGATGTTTAGATTACTAGTTCGATAATTCTCAAGTGCATATGTTTTAATGGGAAGGGAGGTTTTTTGTATTTAAATCAACATTAAACAGTATAACAGTGAGTAAACAATGTATTTAAATTAGAGGATCAATAATGGTAACCTATCAATACATGTGAATTGGTAGCTTATTTATTTATTACTGAGTAAAAAAACAAAGTAGATGAATTTAAATATGTGGAAGGTGTATGAAAACTTAGTTAAGATTACGAATGTCTGGAGAAATAATGATCAAAAACATATTTAAGGTTGTGTCTGGATGTTTGTTGATTGTGGGATTACTTAATTTTATTAACCCTTTGTATCCACCTTGTAACTATGAAACTATACATACTGTAATATTGAATTTATTGAGAATATCTGTATGAAAATTGGCAAGGTTTCAGTAAGCATCACACATCTTTTGTACATAAGAAATCAGATTTTGTAATTAAGTTTTTTTACTAATAGTTTGTTAGTTTATGAAGCCTTTACTGAGTCAGTCTGAATGCAAGGTGACTTTCATGTTAAGAATAAAAGTACTTTTTTTTCATCTTACAGTTTTCATATTTCATTTGTATAACTTCTAGGACCTCCTAAGTTAATTTCTCAATTTAAATTATTTCATGTATTTTAAAAGTATTAATTGTATTGCACTCTTTGTTTTGCTCAGAGCTGAAGCTCTGAGCTACTTGTACTGCCAACTGCAAAAAGTAATGGTTGACCATTTCAGTCATGCTAAGAGCCAGTCAGCAATAACATTTGGTAAATCTACATTTTTATTTTTAAGTTACATCACACTTTGAAATGTGAATGATAGTGTGATTAATTCCTAGCAAATTATTCTAGAATATCCTGCTTATAAAATACAATTTGGCATCAACATTACTCATGCCTGTTCTCCCATCATTTCAAAAGTGAATGTTGAGCTTTCCCTGCATGTGCAGCTTTTCAAACACAACATGGGAAGTGGCTGCCGTAAACAGGAGACAGATGAATGCTTGGACAGACATCACGTTTTGCGATGTATATAAGATTTTCTCTATTCTAACACTGTATAAGGGCTCAGTCCTGACCTTGTAACCACCATGTAAAAATACAAAATAAATCCAAGATACCTTTTTTTCCCTTCTATTAGGTCATCAAGAAATCAATGTCGCATCTTGGAACACTTTCATTAACCACACCCCAAAAACGTACATCACATATAATAGTTAAACGAACCGCCTAAAGGTCACATTAGTGTAGCCTATATAATATGTAAAGTGTAATATACTCTAATCCCTTATAGTGATGGCACATGACGAGACACACACTCGGCATGAAATGCTGTTTGAATACAAGAAGGGAAACAACACCTCTGTAGCCACAAGGAATATTAAAGAAGTTTATGGAAATATTTTGAACATTTGTAAGTGTCAACGATGGTTCAGCAAATTTCGTTCAGGAGACTGTAGACTTAAAAACTGTGATGGTAGGGGCCGACACATTGGAATTGATATTGATGCTCTGAAGACCGCCTGTTGAACACACTCGTGAAATGGTCCTGAAATTGCATGTCTCTCATGAAACAATATGTAACCATCTAAGGAATATGGGAAAACTACATAAAGAAGGTGTTTGGGTGCCTCACGAACTCTCCCATGATCGTCGTTTCCAACTTGTGAACGTTGCTTCGTCTCTTCTTTCGCGCAATGCGCGTAAACCATTTTTTGGACCGAATTGTCACCGGTGATTAAAAATGGGTTCTATATGTGAATATTAAACGCCAAAAACAATGGCTTAGTCTTAAACAAAAACCACTTCCGACCCCAAAACCTGGACTCCATCCGCAGAAAGTTATGTTTCGCATTTTGTGGGACATCAAACGAGTAATTTATTTCCAATTCCTCAATCCACAGTGAACTGTCAATACAGAAATATATATAGTCAGCAACTGGAACGTTTAAATCAAACCCTTCATCAGAAACGCCCTTCACTCGTCAATAAGAAAGGTGTTCTTCTCCACGACAATGCACGTTCACAT